GGAGCAAAGGGCCTTACTAGTAGTAACAAGAAGCTAGTAGTAACAAGAAGCACACTTGCTACTTGCTACGTGAGAATGCTCCTAGCAGCGATGCCAGGAGCCCTTCTTGTGGAACACAAATGGGCAGAAACCCTGCAACATACATTTTCAATCGAAAAGTACAACTCGAGACAAAAACAAAACTGTGCTCAATTAGACCAGCCAACTTCTATGCACCACATGCCCGCTTGCTTCACCCATCTCTAGGTTCCTGACTCTCCCCAGTGTGAGAACTGTGAAGACATCACTGCGCTGCCAGAGGTCCTTTACTTGTGCGACAACGCTTCGGGCGGCGTGAGTCGTTGGTGGCATTTCTCACTTCCTCCCGAGGGTCCTCTGTGCAAACCTTCCTGGCATTCCGATGGTACAACGCCTTGGACGGCAAAAAGGAGACCAAGACTTTGCAGTTCAAACCGAAGGAAGGAACATGAAGGAACACATACACTCCCATGTAGATGTGGAAAGTCCAAGGGGCCATGCATGGCCATGCCATCCACGGGCCCCATGATTTCAAGAACTTATCTAATTGCCGACCTACTAGCAAAAGGAACCTAAGTGCAATGGCCTCCAGCCTAAGTGCAATGGCCTCCAACCTACTTGCGATGGCCTCCAACCTAGAAGCATGTGTAAATCGAAGGAAACCATTTTAAACCGGTTTGCTTTGCGTCCGGACGTCGGAATCTCGAAGGTGAGCACGGTGGAGTTCTCGACGGCTCCAGACTGCGGGACAAGGGGATGGGATCAAAGCAAAGTCGGTGGCGAATTCTCAACCTAATAGCATTGGCCTCCAACCTGATAGGATCTGATAGGAATGACCTCCATCTTAGAGTTTTCGTTCTGTCGGATTCCACAACTCCACCTCCATGCTGTTCATGACTCCCATCTTCTTCTGCATTTCCTCAAAGTGGAGAGATGAAAGAATCTGGTGACGCGATGTCACGGAGTCAGTGCCTTCCACTTCATACAGTATCTCTTTCCACAGCATTTCAAAGACCAGGATCAAGCCACTCCCCGCCTCCATGATCACACCTTGGTATTCGTTGGGCACGTCAATGACTACTTCCTGTCGTGACAAGCCAAACGCGGAACAGAAAACATCAACCAGAGGCCAAACCGTTGTTCACGGGTGAACCTGCTGCCCAAAAGCGTCAAAACTCCACACGTTCGCCAGCGCAGGAAAACGGCGATTTTTGGGAGGTCACCGCAGGCCCTAGCACGCTACCATCCACATCCAAACATATCCAAACCAGAACCATTGCCCAAACAAGTGATCAGTGTCTGGTGTCTCCTCGTAGGGCTCCAGCTTCTTGCCCGTCTCTGGGTCTTCACCTAGCTGCAGCTGCAAAGTGCGAATAACTACAAAAAGGGCCCATGCCAAAGATGCTGACCTCAACCAAGTACTTGTCTCGGAGATTATCTAGTCTTGGAATGTCTTGGATTACTTAGGCCTGTGATCGGATTTAGAGTTGAGATCCACAGTTCTGGAGTCTGCCCCAGACTTTGCAGATCAAATGTGAGGTGCCAACGCAATAGAACTTCAGGAGCACTGACCATGAACTCGAAGCCCTGTTGCAATGAAACCAAAATCGATCAAGGGCTTTGTAAAAACTTGAGTCTTCACCAGCACGACAGGTCTGGGTCAAGATAGGATACAACCAACGGGCCTAATTTCAAGAATTCTGTGTGATGCGCATTGAAGTTGAGGTTTTGGATTGTTTTGGCCATGAACCGATGCAAAGTGCCGTGTTCTTGATCCATGTCCATGTACCAACAGGCAAATCGTGCCTCTCTGCGCATGTTCTCCATCAGAATGCCCAGCCTAAAGAACTTAGATCAATGTTTTGATGAAACAAACAAGTGAAAGGACGTCACTTGCAAAGTCGTTTGTTGTTTGCTCTCTCGCTCTCTCTCTCTCTCTCTCTCGCATACATTTTTTGGGTGCGTGCGTGCGTCCGTGCGTGCGTGAGCGTGCGTGAGCGTGCGTGAGCGTGCGTGAGCTTGCGTGAGCGTGCGTGCGTACGTGCGTGGGTGGGTGCTTGTGGAGCTGCTAGCTTGTGGATCACATTTGAATGCTGAGTCTTTGCGTCTACATAAAATGTGATGCAGGAGATTCTGGGTCAATGACGCTGTGGATGAGAGTGGGAAGCAGGGGCTGATCATCCCTGTGTACCTGCGATTTGTGAATGTTGATAGCTACGTCCCACTCTACTTCAGGCTGTTTAGGTGTGTCGTTGTTTCGATCATCGACTTGAAGCTTGGAATTTAACTTGGCACTACTTGAATTGGACTAATGAGCCTGACCTCCTTGGAGCTAAGGAGCCTGAATCTTGATGAACTCTTGGAACTCTGGGTAGTTTGGCCTTCTGAAGATGTGCAATCCAACCCACATGTTACCCGATGTCCTCAGGCAATTTCTTACCTAGGCTTCTTCAGGGCAAGTGGCTTTCAGTTCAGTACGCAATTGCGTACACCTTGGATTCAAAGGTTACCTGTCGGTAAGATTTCATTGACTTCTTCTGTTTGTAAGCAGGGGGCACGGAGACTGATTTCCCATCCGCGCCAACGAAGCTACGGAAATCAGTTAGAGTTGGGATGCGAACTCTTGTACCTGCACTTCGATCTGGTTTGTGATGTTGAGTAACCACGCTCTTCTCTAGACTTCAGGTAGTTTAGGTAGCTCTCAGGTCGGCAGATGTGAACGTTCATCGTCGATGTCGTCGCGCCGCTGTGAGAACTTTGAGACTTCCAATTCTGGCAGCTCCTCCGGCGGTGTGACTTTGGAGCTGTTCAAACCACCCTTTTTTCTACGACCTCTGCACTACTTAGGTTTTTGAGATACCGAGGTCTCTTCAGGGCTTGGAGCGATCAGATCGTACGTATGCATTTACTAAGTGTGTGCGTGTGTGTCTCAGAAAAAAGCTAGCATTCCACTGGGTGCCACGGGCTGCAAGGTACCACGGCCCTTCACTTTGAAGCTTTCAGTCCTTGGAGAAAACAGGAAACATCGGGATTCGTCCCCTTTGCTGAACAGCGGGAGTTCAATATAATCAAACGAATCTGGGGGCGTCACGTGCTTCCGGGCTCCATGCGGATCGCCAGATTCGTGAGGCACTCCTTCTCCAAGCGTGCCTTCCAGCGGGAGTGCACAAGCCAACATCCCAATTCAGTCGGTGTTTTCTTCTCGGCCACACGCGTACAACCTGGCAGAAAGGACATAGCAATCTGCAGTCAAAGGCAGCCTTCAGCTGTGGTGCCGTGACCTTGGTGGACTCCTGCATGTTTTTTCTCAGATGTTGGGCACAAAAGAAACTGACGTGGTCATGAAAATCATACAAAATCATGTTGATATCAACAATGAACTTGCTACCCAAACCAATCGTCAAACGAGAACATCTTCAGATGTTCAAGCTCAAATCAAACAAATGTGCCACCTCTTTCAAACTGTTTGGCATTAATTTGTGACACTGTTGCAACCTCCAAAAGTGACCACAGAAAAATGGGCTAGGGTGGCCAGGAAAAGACATCTCCTTGAGCTTACCTGCAAAGGGAGATTTGTTGATGGTGAACTCCATGGCCACTGTGGGCTCCTGGAAGGGAATTTGATGGGAGTCGAAGTCGCGAAGTCGCAAAACGAGAGAGATGGAAACAACAAAAATTCCCAGGTTCACTGGTCGACCGGTCTAGAGATCTCAAGAATAAAAAGGAAGTACTAATGCCAGGAGCTATTACTAGGAGCGTCCTTGCTCCTAGTAGCGATGTAGCGATGGCCTCCAACCTACTTGCAATGGCCTCCCCCTAGTAGCGTCCTTGCTACAAGAAGGATTAACAAATGAAAGGTATGGGACAAGATGAGACGCGAAGCTGGCCCAAAGGACGCGCGGACACTCGCCCAGACCTCAACCTGGATCGGCGGAAGGGGCAAAGGCGTCTGAGTGTCCACCACTGTGTCACCAATCATCACCTGCCCAAGGCTGCATGAGATCTTTCAATTAGGGCGGAGGCCATCGCCACTACAATCTTCGATTTACCGGCAAGCGCCGAAGGTGAATATATTTTTGATCTAGGCGCGCAGTATACGTCAGCATTGCTTAGCGAGCACACGTCACATACCATCACATACCTCTAGCTGGGCGAGGATGCAGTTTTTGCTCTACAAGTATATTGAATTCAGTGCTTTCAAACCTTTGGAAAGGGACAAAACACCACAATCAACCCTGGTTAAACATGTCTGATTAAATTATGTGTGTATCAAATGCACAAGCATGTCTTGCAACATGGTTCTTTAGGAGCTCCAATCCGATTCTTTACCGCTTTTATCCGCTTTTCCTGCAATGGAGCGGTGGACCACATCCTGTGTGGGTGTATGGCCTCCAACCTGCTAGCGATGGCCTCCAACCTAATAGCAAAAGGAACCTAATAGCGATTCATGAGTGTGCTTTCGGATAGCTTTTCCTGAAGCGGTAGATGGTTGAATGCTGTTGGCCTCTAGCAAATCCAACATCTCTCAGGTGTGTCACGTCCCTGAATGTCCATCCACGTCCTAAAGCTGGTTAAATCTGAAGCTGCAAATGACTGCAAGTGGTTGGTGTGAAAAATTCTCAAGACATCTTCCTGACCTCGCTAATGCCTGAGAAGCAGCAAATGTCACCTGCTTTGACCTCAGTCATCTCAAAAGATCCGCAGAGGCGGATCTCTGCCTTAACGAAAAGAACCGTCAGGGTTCTTAGGAGCCGGCAATGTCAGTTGGGTCTTTGTCATTATTCTTGAATTGCCAAAGTTTTGTGACCTCAGCGAAAACTCAACGATGAAGCAATGAAGCACGAGGGCATGAGGCCACCATCAGCACCGGGCAGTTCCCTTCCGAAGTTCACCATCTTCACCATACATGATCCCCACCTTGCGAATCTGAGAGGCACTTGGATGAAGACACCCAGTCTTGCACAATGACCCGAACATATCGGAACAACCCTATTCACCCTAACATGGAGGCCATTGCTGTTAGGTTGGAGGCCATCCATCCCTATTAGATTGGAGGCCAAGTAGGTTGGAGGCCATTGCTATCAGGTTCCTCAGCATGGCATGTGCCCCGTTCCGTCCGCCTTTCCTTGGCGCCTCTGGTCCAAAGGCGGGCTCGAGAGTCCGCTGACCGGGCGCCTCCTGACCGACCTTCAACTCGCCAGAAATGAGGCGACCAATGCAGATACGCCTTCGACATCGAGGAAGGTCGAAGAAACGGCAAGGTGCCGTGGAAGGTCGTTTCGACAACAGCTCCCCTTCCAAAAAGGGAAATTGTGCACATGTTTCGGTTTCTAAAAAAAGCAACTCCTAGAAACCAAAAGAATAGGACGAGCACTTCTTCAAGGAAGCTCCTCCCCCGCCCTCAGGCGCGGGGAGCTTCCTTGATTAAAGAAGCGTGAGCTATCCTGCGTCCTCCTGTCCTAATACATCCTATATATATATATTACTAATTAGTACCATTTAGTACCCATACCATCACATACAGTACCTCTTCTCTAGCGTCCTACCCCGCCGGCTAAAAAACAGACAAGCACGCATCTTCAAGACGGAATCCGTTCGAGTCCCCCCAGCGGGCCCAACGTAGTCGTCGTAGTCCAGGTTGGACACCTCGATGCCACACTCAAGACTCGTTTCAGGAGTGAGGAAGTGAGACCTCCTTTTTGAAACAAACAGAATAACATATAACAAGAACACTTAAATGCCAAACACTCGGAAACAGTTTCGTTCTTATCATTCGTTATTACATGTTTGAGAAGTGAAAGCAGTTCCTTCTGAGACTGCGACCAACATTTGCAAGGGAGCTGTACTATCAACTTTGGGCGGAGGAGTCTCCTCGATCGTGCAAGGTCCAAAAGGTACTCCAAAAGGATTCTTCGTGAAGAAAGAAGAATGGACAAGAATATTCCTTTTTCCGGCCCACCTGCAGAATGGTGTCCAACAAGGGAGTCAAATCCTGCGGAAAGAAGCACTGCAATTTGCGGGCATCAAAGCTTCAAATAGGCGGGAACAAAAACATTCACCATTGGCTTTAACCGAGTGAGTTCAGCCCAAGCACGCGCCTTCTCGAGCTCATCCGGGCCTTCGGTGGATGCGACACCCTGGAAGCCAGAGGCATAGACCTCGAAAATTCCAGAGAAAATAACAGCTGCTAGCTTCCAACCTAATAGGAATGGTCTCCAACCTAATAGGAAAGGTCTCTAACCTAATAGGAATGGCCTTCAACCTATTAATAATAACGATTGCCTCCAACCTAAAAAGCAGCTTCAACTAGTCCTCATAAGCTTCAGAGAGTAGTTGCTTTCAGAGAGTATAGCTGCACGTTCATATCACATGTTTCTTCTGAAAGCAATGGCGCAGCTCTTGTTTTGGTCAGATATGGAGACCAAAAACCTGACCCCTTTGAGTGTTACACATCGGCAAAAAGACACACAAACCGGCTCGGGTCTCCCACCACCGGAAAGTCGCAGGCTTCATCATCTGCGCCCAGGCATCCGAACAAGTCGAAGGTCGTGTCCAAGACCTCGGTCGTGAAGCCGCGAAGCTTGCGAAAGAGCAAAAGAAGAGGGCATTGCTACTAGGAGCAAGGACGCTACTAGGAGCTCATGGCAGATTGGTTCACAATCTGCGCACACAACACGAAATCTGAAGGAAAAGCCTTTCATGGGATTCTAAAAACACTATATAAACCTTTTTGGTGGAGCCAAGCGACCCAATCAACTCTGGATGCAGGCTTGTCTACCTCGCAGGGATGATCAAATCTTTTATTCACCGATCGGGTTGCACAACTGTCTGCTACGAAGTCAGATGCTGAGATGGTCTGCCCGCCAGCCTTGTTGATGCAAACGATGATCTTCTTCTGCAGCTTTAGAGCCTGCCTGCAAGAACGATCCCGCACACTTTCATAAGGTGGAGAGACCTGGATCTTAGCAACGTCCCAACTGTTGGTGCACAAAGGACGTATGGACCGTCCACTACCGATCCACCAGGGGGTTAACTCCTAGAGACAGATGGGCCCGACGGACCTATCATGACCAGTGAAAGCCTGGTGCTAATAGGAATGGCTTCCAACCTTTTTGCGATGGCCTCCAACCGCGGGAACATTTAGGTCTTACAAGCCAACATTTGGAGTTCAGGTTTTACAGGCTTGATCCTGGCCTCAGGACGAACTTGGTCTGCGGCATGGGGCCTTCCTTACAGTCAAACTCTGATCGAATGCTCCTTTTCTAGGAACTTACATTTTTTTAGGTGCCGCATGCAAACTTACTATCCTCAAAAGCAAAACCTTTCAGTCTGTCCAACAGTCACACATCAAAGGCAAAACCACTTTCAGATCGGATACGACAAACACCCGAGGCCATCCGAGGTCCCAAGCAGCAGCATCTACCAGCAAAAGGCAGGCATCAGCCTTGGACTTGGTCTCTGAGAAAATCCCTTCTCCAACCTTCAGATCCAAAAGGATCCAAAAAAGCGGCATTTTGTCTATCCTTCTGTCAAGCCGACTTGTGGGATGCCGACTTCTTTGAAGGGACATGAAGGGGCTGTCGACCGAATGAAGAGGACGTCAGAATGTCACACTATCATACACTATCGCCAATGAAGACAATTGAAAAGAAAAGTCAGACCAGACCGGCACTTGCTGTGCGAACTTCTTAACCCAGTGGCCATGTTCAGGATCCGCTCGACTTCAGCGCCGAAGTCCGCGTGGCCAGGGGTGTCCACTAAGTTGATCTGGCAACGTCACGCGGTGAGGCGAGGCCATTGGAACTGGAAGCTTTACGTTCTCGAAGGCATTTGAGTTCCAAGTCCTGAAACTGCGATGTCGGAATTCCCTTTTTTATTCTTTTTGTGAGGTGGCCTCCGAAGCATGTTAAATTAAAGCCTTCAAGCCAAGCAAAAAGCTTGGCCAAAAAGGCTTCGATCGCTGGGACAAGTAACAAATAATGACATCATTGTAGTATGCCAGAAAAATTGGCTTCACGCGCACACACACACACACTGATGGTGATATATCGATCATGGTCTCAGTAGTTTGCAAGAAATTGGATCATCGAGGACATCCGGCAGCTATTTATTTGGGCCACTGTCCTAATCTAATCTATATCATATATATATATATATATCCATTAAGACTGGAAGGTTTAACATATTTCACCCAAGTTTCCCTCCACTGCAGCGAGTGAACCGCACCTTGATTCCTTTGTACGTCACAGCGGCGTTTTTTGCCAGGATTGTAATTCCTCGCTCCTGCGACATCCATCATGTTCTTTCTGGATCTTTCTGGTCCCGCAAGTCCGCAAGGTCATCGCCGCTCGCTTCTGAAAGATCTTCAAGGTGTTTTACTCTAATGCTTTGCTGAAAAGAACTGGAATGAACTGCAAGGGCTACCCTGCAAGCTCTTTTGCGATGGTGCGTGATGATCTGTGGAGATTTTAGAGGCACACCAAACATCATTCGCTTCATTACCATAAACCCTGCAATGTCCTTTCCTTTGGGCGACCTTGGCTTGCACCACTGTGACCAGCGCACGCACAGTAAACAACAAACGTGCCCACAGCACCAGTTTCTCCACGACCCACAGAAGCGCCAAAAAGGAAACATGACGGTCACCGCCGCCATGGTGTGCACTCCAAAGAACGTCTTCACTCCCCATCCAACTCTGTCAGCCACACAGCAGCAAAGCAAACGCCTTGACAATTCTGGCATGCAAACCTTGGCAGCAAACAAGAAGCTACTAGGAACAAAGGCATCGCTTGTAGCAAGGACGCTACTAGGTGGCTCCTGGCCATACTACTAGGAGCAAGAAGCTACTAGTAGCAAGAAGCTTCTCTCGCCGGTGTCACGCCGAGAAGGAAATTGGACAAAACACCAGTCAAGTCAACGCTGGAGTCTTGTGTGGCTCTTATCAGCGACTCCAAACTGGCAAGCGCCGGGTGCTGACTCTGCACTACCCTCGTTGTCCGACGAAGCTCGACAAGCTCTGCACCCCCCTTCTTTGCAAGAATGGAGAGCTTAGGGGAGTGGCGTGAGCGGTGGCAAACACCATAGTTATACCTGCAGCCAATATCCTAAATCCAAACTGCATTGAATTTCACCCTAATAGCAATCGCCTCCAACACTGCCTGCAACCTAATAAATAGCAGCTAATATAGATTATTAAATCCAGGTCTCTTTCCATCTCAACTTCAAGCTGCAAACAAATGCAAACGGCATTGGAAGGCTGACAAGCTTCTTTGATGGAAGTTCTGCACCTTTCACCCATGTTCACACCTTTCTCTGTTCAAACATCTCTCTTCGCTTCTTTTTGTTTCGGAGTCAAAATGCAAAGGTCGGAGATCTCCTGCTCCAGCTGGTCGCTATCCATTGACTTCACCTTCTCCATTCCACACCTTGGCGATGAAGACCGACGGAAATCCCACAAGCTGTGGCACCATCGAAGATCCGAAGATCGATTGCTTCGAGCTGCTGCTTCATCAGGGCATTGGTCAATGTGGTCCTAGGCCAGCAACTGTGTCAATGGACGTCAATTTCCACGCTTCAGAATACTTCAAAAAGGCATTGTCGATCCTTGCTATTGCAAGATCTATTGCAATCGCCACATTTGCAACAATCTGGCCACAAATATCCGATCAGTTCACCCTGAGGCCAGAGCTTGCCATGATCGACATGCGCAATGATCGCGATGTTGCGCAGGTCCTCGCCGACCGAGTCTCTCCACCGTCGGCCGACCACGTCTCGGCCGTGGCCCCTGGCGCTCACGGCTGGCACCTCGCGTTCGATGATGCTGGGCTTGTCCAAGGTGGCCACCCGCAACGGCAATCTGGCAACGACGCCAAGCGACGGAGACTGATATCGGAGGTGTTTGATGGTTTTTGTCCATCTTGTGATGGATGCTTCTTTGATCTTTTCTGACTGTGACATACCGTGACGTCCCGAACAATCCTAAACAAGTTGAAGTTCCATACTGTGACGATCTGTGACGTCCAGGACGTCCCTACTTTCCGAGTGGAACTTGCTTAAAGTCCGGGCAGTTCTGACCGAGTCCGTACCGAGTCCCTTCTCCCAAGTCCCGAGTCCGTTCAGCTGAACGCAGCACGTTATGCCCCGTTTCACCCTGGCCTGCTGCGACGACTAACACTTCGTCGGTGAAGCCCGGCAACTGCACATTATAGAGGCAAGGGACATGAACATTGATTGTTTTAAAGACTCCAAATCTAAGCTAAACATCCTTGAGTGAAATAGTTTGTGAGCAGAAATCTGGCTTTTGCAACGAACATTCTGACAATACCTCGTGACCTCGAGCTGTGTCTCTTGAGCATGGATTGCGTACCCTGTCCACACCTTTCTCTGCGCATCAAGTAGAGGTATCGAAATATTGAAAGGATGCTACTGCTGATGATGCTCATGACTCATGATGTTGCTGTTTGAAACATCAAACGTATATGCGTGTGACGTGTGCGTACACATTTTTCCATCGCAATGTACAACTCTGAAACAACGACAATTCATCCGCCCAAAAATGTTTCAAGCTCCTCCACTTGGTCTACCGAGTCTACCGATTCTGCCTGCGCCCGCCAGTAGGGAGGCTGACAATGCCTTGACGGCACAACGAACGAACGATCACGCAAGCCTCTCCAGTCCGATCTGGTCGCAAAATGATTCAGAAGAGACAGGTGGGGTCACTGGCCACCGTTCCTGTGCTCTAGCGCTGCAGCACTCCAGGGCAGGGCATGGTACTTTAATGTAACATGTATTTTCTATGATATAATCATATATGATCTTATGATATATATATATATTATATATTTATGGTATGTTTTTCTGATTCTGTGGAGAAAACGTCGTGAACCAATTGACCCCATGTGACCTACGGAAGGAAGAAAACAACAATGCAAAGGAACAAAACATGCAAACACGGATGCTTTGACTCGACCGTTGTTGGGCGAAAAAACTCCAAAATCCAGACGTGACCCCAAAGGAATTTTCTGCCATGTGGCATGAGAGCTCGTCGAGCTGGATGGCAACTCAGGGCATCTTCGACCTAGCTCTCTCTGCCTAGGTCTTGGGTGGCCACCCTGCAAAAGCGTCAAATGAATTTCCAGAGTGTCCGCGACGGGCTGCCTGCCAAACTCAGTCTTTTCCGCATTTAGATGCACTAGGAGCAAACACGCTAATAGGGGCTCCTGGCATCACTACTAGGAGCAAGGACGCTACTAAGGGCTCCTGGCATCACTACTAGGAGCATTCTTACTACTACGAACAAGAAGCTACTAGGAGCCCCTGGCATGGCTACTAGGAGCAGGACGCTACTAGGGGCTCCTGGCATCAATACGAGCCATCGCACTGCTAGGGGCTCCTGGCATCGCTACTAGGAGCAAGGACGCTACTAGGAGCATTCTTACTACTAGGAACAAGAAGCTACTAGGGGCT